ATAGACGAGATCTTTCGGGCGTAACCCTTTATCAAGTCAGTGTGTTAGTATTATGTATATACATACATATATACATATATGTACATATACATACATATATACATATATATACATATATATACATATACATATATATACATATATATATATACATATACATATATATAATGTGTGGGTGTGTGTGTTAGTATTATGTAACCATATTACATACTGTGATTTACTTACATCAGTGATTTTATAATATGCTAATGTTCATTATCACTTTCTTCATTACTATCACTGTCTAATGAATCAGAAACACTAGAAAACAATGGAAAGTTGTTGCAGATACTCTCTTCCGCTTCGCAGTTACACATCTCAGTACACTGAAGATTATTTTTCCTACACGTGCATGTATTATTCGAACAGGTACATATTGAGCAGGTACATCTGATAAGCTCAGCAATTGTTTCAGGGGCAGCCTGCTTTTCTGACAAGACAGGTCTCAATTCACCATCTTCCATAACCCAGCCCAGTTTGCATGGATCAGGGATTTCTGGATGAATAACAGTATCCTGGCTCCATATACTTTAGTTTACTATATAACTTAAGTTATTAAACATAATTTGTGTATAACAAATGCAGCATATTGAGAACTGATTAGGTCTGTTGTGTCACTTGTAGTTTTGAATACATTATTACCTACGTAAAACACCTACTGTGCTAAGACAACGCTTTGAAAAACTTGATTGCGTTGTTAAAAATATTGTTGTAAAATGTTCTTACAGGGGTCAATTTGACATATTTGTGAATGACAACAAAGTTGGAAGTTATGATAATAAAGGCAGTTTTGGTGAGCTAGCCTTGATGTACAACACACCTAGGGCAGCAACCATTGTGGCTACATCAGATGGAACAATATGGGCATTAGTAAGTGGAACACAATCACTTAATACTTCCGCCATGCTGCAAGAAATGCCAGTGAAGAAAACAACAATTATTGTGTACACATACTTATGTGGGAAAGGAAATTGCAATGTATAAAGGCTACCAGATAGTTGTCAAAAATCACCTGTAACTTGCAAATTGATTCAGAGATGTGAAGAAAGTATGACACAATAGTATACATGTAACATTGTTTTCATTTCAGTGTTCAACTGTATAATAATCTGCTAATTATTACTAAAATAAGATTAGGATTTAAAAAAAGAATCAGACCTTGCCATGTTGTAACATGCAGTTAAAGTGTATGTATAGATGTCTCTTATACACATCTAGATGTGTATAAGAGACAGGGTTATTACAGGGCATATAAATGGTGTTGGAAAAAAACAGCCCTTAAGATGTTTATGAAATCACCACCTCATGTTTACATGCTTTGGCCAAGCTTGGGATCATTTAATGTGAGAATGTGATGAAAGGAGTTTTTGTGTAGTCTTCTCTGAACGAAGAAAGTATCTGCTAAAATGCCTCAATTTTACGATGGAAAAGATTCAAAACTCTGCCAAACAATCAAGGTGTAGATAAGCTGCCACCAACTGCAGGAGCCTTATATCAGCATATAATGCATGAACATCTGCAAGCCAATATATATATTTATTCATCCAGAAATCCCTGATCCATGCAACTGGGCTGGTTTATGGAAGATGGTAAATTGAGACCTGTCTTGTCAGAAAAGCAGGCTGGCCCTGAAGCAGTTGCTGAGATGTTGTCTAGTGTTTCTCATTCATCAGACAGTGACAGTAATGAAGAAAGTGATAATGAACATTAGCATATTATAAAATCACTGATGTATGTAAATATAAGTAAATCACAGTATGTAATATGGTTACATAATACTAACACACACACACACACATTATACATAGGCTATATGTATGATATATATTTATATATGATATATATATATGTATATATATATATGTATATATATATGTATATATATATGTATATATATGCATATATATATGTATATATACGTATATATACGTATATAATATATACATATATAAATATATATATCAAGCTATTGCTGATTGTTGTTTTCCAGCAGTATGTATGTATGTATGTATGTATATATATATATATATATATATATATATATATATCATATATAAATATATACTATATATATATTATGGTAATGATAATAACAGTATATGGCAATTGCATATAACTAGCTCTATCACAGTTTTTATACAGGTCGGTTATTATTATATTAATATGTATGCTAAAAAGCTAAAATAATGGAAAATGGCAGCCATTTTAAATTGTAATAGCTCAACCAACCAAAGTTTGCTGGACTTTGCAAAATCTGAGGCGTTAGCCTTTGAATGAGATAAGACGAAAATGTTCGTCTTAAGGCAGGTATGTTTTCATCTTGATTTTAAGCAAATTTTAAGCAATTTCTAAGCTAAGCAATATTTGATAAATATTGCTTAGCGGGGATAAGACAAGTGGCCATATATTGCTTATTTAACCTTTCCTGAGTTCGGGACAAAATTCAAAAACGTTGAGATGTAACGATAATTAGAGAAACAAAACATGATGTGATGAGACGGGAAAATCAGGTGAAAACGAGGCTGATCACTTTTTTCAGTAGCTTGGTAGCATTTTCTAACCAACTCATTGTCTCAATTTTGGCGAGCAGCTGATCGAAAAATCGTCCCGACGATCGAGCAGCTAGCCTAGACAAAACATAACAGTAGTGTGAAGTTAATGAGAGAGACGGTTTAGTCAACGTCATTTCGATCATGGAGGAATAATTCAATTGAATAAATAAACGTATATCATGTAGTAATTATCGCCTATATATACTGTACTGTGATATAAAAGGTACCGAGTGGAGCTTACCTTATCCAATGGGATATCTAGCTTCGAGGCGATAGTACTCCAATATATACGAACACAGTAGCACCCACAGCGCATACTCCTGTGTAGACTCGGACACCAGATACACATAAACAATCCTGTAATAGGGTTAACGATGCTCTCAGCATAAAGTCCAGTGTACGAGTGACTAATCTCACCAGGTACCCCTGGTCGGCTGTGCAGCACACCCGGCTGTGGGTTATGCAGATGAGCTGACCTTGAGGTCATGTCCTCCTGCGGGGTCATGTCCTAGAGCGGGGATACGAACGTACGGGGGTCGTCACTACACTCCTCCTTCGTTTGAAAAAGGAGACGCTACCCCGTGGGTAATAAATAGCCCACCAGGAGGTATTGGCTGATCGAATGCTATAGCTTCCATAAATTTCTCTATGGGAAGACAAGAAGAACTGGAAGTCCCTCAACTTCAGTCGGCAGAGAGTAATATAGTTAAGTTTCAGTAGAGCCATCAGTGGAAAAATCAACTGATGGAATACGACGACTACCCAATAATTCTGATCCACTATTCTTGAGAGAAAGGCCATCAGACTTGATGACCAACCGTGGATACTCTCCAAAACCCCACCCAGGAAAGCTACCAGATGTTAACCCAATGCCCGGGTCCCACGGGATTTGACCGTTCAGTATCCGGTCCATGAAGGGGCCTTTCTGAACATGTACAGGAAGTTGTACAGTGCTCAGGAGAAGATGCTCCATATTGGAGTTTTGCAAGTCATCGGGCTTACATTGCAACGCCCAGGACATTCCCATACCCAGGAAACCTTGTTGCTGCTCGATGCGTACCGACTTGCCCAGGTTTCTGCATTTCATCATGGCATTGACGTGTAATGCATGGTAGTCAGTGAAGAATTGGATAACTCCGTCTTCCAGCATCTTATTAATTTCTTGCTCCTCTTTGCTGTCAAAACGTAACGGTGTGGGCCGATGACGTTGTTTAATGAGAGGGCCATCGGTAATAATTTCATCTAGATGTTCAGGCTCTACGGCCTTGCCTATTTGTCTACCCTTCTTCATGGTGACATAATTAGTGGACATATTAATTACACAGATGCATGGTACTGTATATCAATGCAGCGGTGCAGTGTAACGGGAATCGCTACCCTTTGTATGTCTCCTGGTTCCATGACGAAATCAGGCATGGGTAAACCATTATCAACTAGATGACACTTAACATGTGTAACACAGTTGGGAGGTATCACCTTACGTTTAGCTACACATATTCGGGCAATCCTTAGAGCAGGTTTGGAGTCGCTCCTAAGCAATATGGTGCTATCACCAATGGTTAGTAGTAGCCTCCCGAAATCAATAATTGCTTTATTAGGATGGAGGAAATCCCCACCCAAGAGCATTTCATCATTTATAGGGGCTACGTAGAAGAATCTGTTATACTCGTCTCTTATACACATCTTTTCGTTGACGGGTCCCACCTTATAGCCTGGCATAGATGTTTCCCTTTCTGCTAAAGTGAAGGATATATTGGCCACAATAGGTGGTACTGGTTTAAGGCTAGAGTATACACTATCAGAGAGGATTGTGTGATTGGCTGCGGTGTCTACAACTACATTAATTTTTATATTATTAACTAAAGCAGTCGTATGCAGGGCGTTATTAGATCTTACTCTACTGATAGTTATCTCTTCTACAGTCGTCGTTGCTGTTGCTGTTGTTACTTCTAACTCATTACTGTCTCCCGGTTTAGAAGAATGAGTCAGAGTTGGTCGATGTTTCTACAGTTTCTTGGTGTATCTTTTCGGACTAGCAGCATTGCTAGGCCGCCCGGAACAGGATGCATGTTTCGTGGACTAACAGATTTATTGTTAGGCCCACCTGGAACGGGAGAAACTGTGTCGTGTTCAATCACTTTGTCTTGATGCTCTTGTTGGCCGCCAAGGTGAGGATGGTCGGCTAGCTGGCCATGGCTTCCGATCCCTACTAGTTTAAAGGATCCTCTCCCTGGGGGCCAACCCGCCTAGGTTGTTTAGACGAGACGAGTTTGGGACAGTTATTACGACAGTGTCCTGCCTCTTGGCATTCAAGGCATCGATCCCACGTGGTTTCAACATATCCAATACTGCGTCCAGCTTTCTGTTAACTGCATTCACCTGATCTTCGAGGCCGGTTAACCTTCTTTCAGTGTTGCATGATGGAGATGGGGATGGTTTCTGGCCTGTCGTGACCAGTTTACTTGCGGGTATGACTGCAGCTTGCCTTGCAGGAGCGGAGGATCTGGGATAGTTGGACTTACCACCCCGGTTGTAACGTTCACTTACTTGTTGGCATTTTGCAGCCCTGCAGTTTCTGCTCCCTGCATCTTCATCCTTGGAGTAAGGAGATGATGAGTATTGAGTGACACGGGTAGCAGACTTGATCAGGGACTTTCCACTATTTCGAGATCTGCTCCCACTCTTACCATACAACTTTCGCAGGCTGTAATACTATTCACACTCAGTCAAAGCCTCTGCCAGAGTAGAAACTTGCTCGTGGAGGACATATCTCCCAGCCTCTGTATCTCGACACCCAAGACAGAACCTAGTAGCAGCTTCCTGTCGGATCCAGGCGTTTGGTAGATCTTTGTATGCCTTTCGGGTCATGGTCATGACTCGATCACCCCACTCGTTGACGGATTCGTCCTCACGTTGAGTGGCGGTCTCCGGTCTAGCTTGCAGGACGGCGGGCAAGTCTTCCTCCCCGAAGCGTTTGTCAAAGGCCTTCAAGATCTTCTTAAAGGTGATCCTACGGTCCATTTCTAGGAGATTCACATAGAAATCAGCCGCAGGTCCCTCCACATACCAACTCAGTGTTTCGATTCTAGCTTTTGGTGAGAGCTCATACTCTTCAGTAAATGCCATAAAGCGTTTCTTAAAGAAAGACCAGCTTCCTTTGCCTTTGAATATGAGATTCTTGGGGATGTCCCTCGGCTTGAGGGTACACATCTCGGGTCTATAATCTCCCTGTCGTGGGCTGTGTCTACGATAATCCTCCCATCGTTGACGAGGTCTATAGTAATCTTGCCATCGCTGATCATGTCTATAGTCTTCCCATCTTTGATCAGGTCTAGGATAATTTTCTCGACGCTGATCAGCTCTGACGTGTTCCAGAAAGGTTTGCCAACCTCGCAAAACCTCCTCACTCTCACTTTCACTATCACTCTCCTCCTCACTCTCACTTTCTTCGGAGGATTCGACAGTACGGCGGGTTTGCCTGCTTTTCCCCTTAGATGATGACTTACCCAACCGGAATGCTGGCCCATAATACGGATCCAGGAAATCTGGACCCGACCCACCCTGTGCAGGTATTTCATGTTGGTGATGAGAGGGGTTTGTGAAAGGAGTTAATGGCAGCTGTCGACTACTGGAAGTAGCAGCCAGGTTCTTTCTATCAGCCTGCGAGGATACTGAATGTATCACTGTACGTACACCATTTCCTCCCCATTCAGGATTAGGAGTGAAGTCTATATGCTTCTCTAAATTGGACCTGCTAACCCCTTTAATAACATCTAAGCTATCCGGCGTTAAGTTCCTATGACGTGATCTCCAACAGATTATCTGTTGAGCCCGTTTTTTATTTACACATGGGAGTTTATACAGATCTCTCTCGTCACAGAAATTTATTTTAACAATAAAATTAACCTTTGACATTGTTTATGGGAAAAATTGCACATACAGGTCAAAGGTCAAATAGGTAGAATTGAAATAAGTGGGTTAGCAATGATAAAATTATACAATGGATAAACAAATCAATGCTTCACAAATATCAATTTAAAACCTGAAATCCAAGGCAATCTGGTTAAAATGTAAAAATAGATATGGAAGTATAAATGTGAATACAAATATAAAATATCTAAAATAACACGTATCACACAAGCTACAATGAAACGAATAGTTATTGAAAACCTGTGGATAAAACCAGAATGATTAACCTGTATGCAAATAAGTTAGTGGAGGTATGCACTAAGCTCTGCACAATAAAACAGCACACATGGCCTAGGGTAATATCTAGACGTGTGTTAACACAAATCTCCAACAAAACAGAGTTTAAAATACCTAACTATATCCTAGCTAAATGTTTTAATCCTAATCTATACGTAATCTAATAGTCGTGGGAGAATTCTGTCTATTCGCGAGACGCGTGTCTCGCACGCTTCTTCCCGCCCACGCTATAGTATTACGTAATACGGCCGCAACGCGTCACAACCTCACACAACAGCCGACGTAAGAAGGCACGCCGACGTGAAAGGTTGAAACAAACGAACTGCAAAATACGCCTAACTAAAATACTCCTAGTCTATAAAAACTAATTGTAGAGGTACTCGACAGACCGCACTACAATAGTTAGTGGCCCTGTACGCTTCCC